CAGGCGGATCTCTGTGAGTTCGAGGCCAGCCTGGGCTACCAAGTGAGCTCCAGGAGAGGCGCAAAGCTACACAGAGAAACCCTGTCTCGAAAAACAAAAAAAAAAAAAACAAAAAAAAAAAGTAGAAAAGACCATTGGAAGTTAGTATTTTACAGTGTCACATGGTCCTTCCTGTACTCATTAAATTTAACTAATTGCATGATCATTTACAGAATGAGTGCTGAGTTCCAGCCATCCGTCAGGACAGGGACATCACAGGGCAGAAGCTGAAAGCAAACAAGCTGGGGAAAACATTGCCATGGTAGTTTGAGTGAAAATGGCCCCCATAGGCTCATCTGTTTAATACCTGGTCCCCAGTTGGTAGACATGGGGAAAGATTAGGAGGTGTAGCCTTGTGGTGGGGGGAGGGCTAGGGGTTGTCACAGGATGCAAGTTTGAGGTTTCAAACTGGATCAAGATGTGAGCTCTCAGCTGCGTCTCCAGCCTTCTGCTACCATGTCTTCTAAGCCATCCTAGACGCTAACCCTCTGGGACTATAAGCACAACTTAATAAGTTTTCTCTAAGTTGCCTTGGCTGCGGTGGTGTGTCACAGCAATAGAAAGATAACTAAGACAGAAGTTGGTTCCAGGGAGTGGGCTATTGCTCTGACAGACCTGACCATGTGATGGTTTCAGAGGAATGTGGAAGACTTGGGTACTTTGAACTGGAGCCATCCTAGCAGGAACGTGGAAGACAGCAGTGCTGAGGGCAGGTGGGCTGCAGAGGTCTAGCTCAAGAGGTTTCAGAGGAGAAGAGTATCAGCAGCTGGGCCAGAAGCCATACTTGGGATGGTTTGGCAGCACGTGTGGCTGCTTTCTGCCCTTGTCCTAAGAACTTGCCTGAAACAAATTGAAAAGTTACAGGCTTTTTGGGGGGCAGGGGGTTGGAGGAGATTCTTCAAGATAGCCTAATATTGACTGTTGCATGGTTGCTAGAATCTCTTTTTTTTTTGTTTTTGTTTTTGATTTTGTTTTTGTTTTTGTTTTTTCGAGACAGGGTTTCTCTGTGTAGCTTTGCGCCTTTCCTGGAACTCACTTTGTAGCCCAGGCTGGCCTCGAACTCACAGAGATCCGCCTGGCTCTGCCTCCCGAGTACTGGGATTAAAGGCGTGCACCACCAACGCCTGGCAGAATTTACTCTTAATGCAGATTTACATTAAGAACAAGGGAGCAGAAAGAAATACAGAGTGTACAGTTTGAAGAGAAAAAGCACCACAGCCAAGGTTTGTTCAGAAACAGAAAGCGATTTAGGGGTGGGGGCTGATCTACAGTGAAATAAAGGGAGGAGCACCCTCAGGCAAGACCGAGCCGGCTAAGTCTCCAACTTGTGAAGGGAAAAGGCCTAAGGAAATTTCTCCTAAAAAGCAACAACAAACGAAAGCAGCTACAAATGGGATTGAAGGGCCCAGGCGCCATCCCAAGCAGGCTGCCGAACTGGGCAGTATTGTGCAATGTGGTTCTGGCTTGAGAGTCATGGAGGATTCATGAGAAAGGTTTCTAGACCTTCCTCCAGGGTTAAGGAGAGCTGATAAAGTCAGACAGTATGTGGGTGGGCATTCCCAGCATGATAGCCCTAAGAGGGTGAGAGGCCATTATGTGAAGCTGTGGACGTGAAGTCTGGATCGTACCGAAGACCCTAAGGTGTTGGAGGTGCCAGAGCGACGGGACATCTACAAAGGGGTGCTGCGTATGAGGCAAACAAGCCCAAGGAAGGAAGGATGTTAGGCAGTGAAGCTGGAGAGGTGGGGCCGTCTAAGCCCTGTGACGTCACACCACATCGGCTGTGGGATTTGGAGTTTGCTCTGCTGGGTTTTGGTCTTGCTTTAGTTCAGTGTTTCCTCCCTTTTGGAATGGTAATGTATATTCTGTGCCATTGTCTGCTGGGAATATGTAATTTGTTATAAGATCTTATAGGGGGTTGCACTTAAGAGACTTGAGTCTTAGGAGAGATTTTGAAGTTTGTACACAGTGTTGAAAGTGAAAGACCATAGTGATTTTTGAAGTTGAGCTAAATGCATTCTGCATTATGGTATGGCCACAAGCCCACGGGGGTCTAGGGAGTAGAATGTGGTGGTTTGGATGAGAATGGCTCTCAGAGGCTCGTATGTTTGAATACCTGGTCCCCAGTTGACGGAACTGTTTGAGAAGGATGAGGAGGTGTGGCCTTGTTCAGGAGGTGTGTCACTGGGTCAGCTGTGAGGTTGCGGGTGATTCCTGCTATCCCAGTACTCTCCGCCTCTTGATTGTGGATCAAGATGTGAGCTCTCAGCTGCTGCTCTCGTCATCTACCATGCCTGTGCCCCACCATCGGAGACTCCAACCCCTGAACCACAAGCCCAATTAACTCTCAGTTACCTTGGTTGTAGTATTTGATCACAGTAGAAGAGTAACCGATACACCTGTTCTGTGGAGTGATACATAAAGTGTGAGCAAAACGAGCATGATGTTGGCAAGAAAACAAACAAGGTAGCATGTTGAATGAGGTTTGATGAAGAGAATGGAAAGTTGCCTTGAAGGATAGGGGGCAGGAGCCTTTGATAAGGTTTTTTGAGCTAAAGACCT